CATGTTTCATTTGTGGTCAGTGGTACGGACAATACCGACGATGCAGGGAATTTTGTTTAGGACTTGTGGTAGGCAGTTTCTACTTTCGGTTTAGTTCCTTTCTGCACCTTAATTCAGGAGTTTTCATGACTTCCCAATTTTGGAGATATTGCATTTGAGGAGCCCTAGGGTTTATTGATGTTTTACTGGTTTTGGATTTTATTTTTGGAGAGGGTCTGTGGCTGGAAGCTGATTAAGGAGATGCCAGGGTATATGGTTGGACTTAGTAAAGTCGATTTTCATCATGCTTTTATTTTTTGGATCGCGTCATATGACGTTCAGAGAGTTCAGTAGAACGCTGCCGAGATTGGAGTTTTCTCCAGAGGCATTAAATTCTAGTAAGAGGTCTTCGTTAGCTTCTTTTAAACAGTGATATATGATTTCTGAAATCTCCGGGAATACGTAATTTTTAAGCTTCCTTGATAAGCCTTTGACCCTAGACATGTTACTTATCGCTGCCAGTATGCAGCGTATAGTTATCTCTATCTTTTGAGTGAAGTCCTTCAACTTGGCTTTCCAGAAATTCTGTCATGACCAGAGCAGAGACTTTTAGGGACTTCGACTTTGATCTGCTGGCTTCGAGGAATGCTGTCAAGGACTCGTTCTTATGCTTTGAGCGGATGTACTTGATGATCTAGCATAGCAAATACCAGACCAGGATTTTATCCTTTGTACCATCGTGCCGGATGAGATGTATCCTGATGTTTATGTTCGTAAAACGTTAGTACGAGTTGTTCTTAAGCTCTGCCGTTCTGTTCCTCTCCTCTCTCTTTAGTAGCAACCCCTACTCTAGGATTTGTGAAAACTGCAAAAATTGAAAGTCTGTTTTTTAGTAGAACAAGTCATAACCATTTTGTTTGCGACTTACAGAAATTTTTTTTAAACTTCCCAACTTCGCTCGTAATCGACTTTGGGGTTTAGCCTTAGATTTGTAGGTAACAGATGACAGATTTTTTGATAGGCGACTTAACGATTTAAGTTATCAGCTCTTGCTTTGGATAGAGTTGACTTTCGATTATATGAAATCCGTGCATCTGATGACTTGAAGCCGGCACTTCGCCTTCGACAAATGCTCGTTAATTAGTGACAGGCTCGGGCCGTTGGCTCTGGCTGCCTGCTTCTTTTGGTTTGAAGAAATCCTTGGAGTTAGATGCTTTTTAGATCAGGGCTCACTCTGCGGGCGTTTGATCGCTGCGTAGATGACATTAGTTGTATCTAATACATGGGACCGTAAGTAGGTTTCAGTCATATTGTTCATAAGTGGAGGACCGCTCTCAGGATCAGCCTGGTAGCACCGATATATTCGTGAGTTTGTATCTTTCAGCTGATGTCAGTCTTTCTACTATGAGACTCAATTTGCTGACAATGAAATCATTAGGGTTCTTTTCATAATAATCGTCGATGCTACTGTAAACATTATTTGTTCTTTTTAGTGCTGCGAACTATATTACTGGAAGGCAGATCTGCCTCCTCAGTGGTTGATCACGTTTTCATATGTAAGCTGTTGGTGTTGCGTTGAAAGTACAACCTCAGGCTAATTGACGTTAAAAAGTGGGAATATTTGCCTCTTGTTGCTTGTTTGGTATGTTTGAAAGTCTGTTGCCATCTCTGAAACCGTATTTTGCTGATACAGTCGTAACTGGGAGATGTCTGATTTAGTCCTATCAATAACAAATTTGTCTACACGCAGGATTTTGCGACTTCGAGTTCAGGCGAAACATTTGAGACTGTCGCTCAGAAAGAGCATTAAAATGCAACGTAGTGTGATCTTACTAATAAAATGTTATATAGCAGGATTATAAACCTCCTACGACCTTTTCGTTCTGTGTAATGCAGATTTTCTCCGCATGGAATATCTTGTTTTATTTTATGAAATAAAATGCTGTTATGTATTGCTAGCATCACTAACAACCCAGTAATTAACGTAGAAAAAATTTGCTTCATTCCACGATGTATTCTTTCAAAAGTAGATGCCTTATGCAGTGAATTATATAGTATAACCTGATGACTTACTATGAATCACTAGCGAAATTTCTTATATCTAATTGATAGCAGCACCTAACCTAAATAAGTTTGAATGTACACTTAGGAATCTTGCTGCGCAATCTTTATGACGCCTTCAATTTTTGTGATCCTCTGCGCTAAGTTCGTGTGCGCATTCGTTTTCCTGTTATTTTCTTCACTGCCTGTTTTGATTTTTGCTCCTTATTGTTTTCTATGAACCGTATCAAATATGTCATCATTAACTGCTTATGCTGTGTTCTAGATTCTTAACGGCCGAAATATCAGAAAAGAAAGCCGTCACCGAATAGTTGATATATTTACGAAACAGTACTGTTCGCGTGTGTTATTCATCGAGTCGCTATTTGACGACGACTGTATGCTCGGAAATATTCAGGTAGGAATTATCTGACAAACTTAATCACAGATAGTTTATACTTAGCTTTAGACATGTCTAAATACGTGGCAGTTTACATCGTGAATTAGGATATAATAAAACAAGCTTTCTTTTATAAGAATCATCCGCTTCCAGTGTTATTTATTGACATCATTTCCTTAAGCAGTTACTTTAGTAAAACTCCTGAATCTTTGCAGTTATAAATATATTCCTTCTTATAGGAAGTTCTTCAGGACTTTGCTTTATCACAACGTTCAGAAGCAGTTCAAGAAGAACACGTGCAACGCCTTATCGAGTTGTGCCGTATGGACTACGAGACCCTTGATCCTGTGGCCGACAATGATTTATCGTTCATTAAAGTTGTGAATGCTGGAAGTTCCTTCTTGGTCCAAAATATCAAAGGTATGAAAGAATGCATGCAACTTTTACCACATTGGAATAACTGTTGATTTCAAGCTTACATTTGCCTGTTTTTAGGTCACCTGATGAGTCGTGTAGTCTACTTCTTAATGAATATTCATCTTCGCCCTCGTACGATTTACCTTACTCGAGTAAGTCTTAGCTTCATTATTTGCTACTACCAGGTAGTATTAATTACTTAATGACTTGTGATGAAGCGCCAATTTTGTAATACATATTTGTGTAACAAGCCTGTTAGACAGTGTTTCTACCCAGTGGCTGGAGCCGCAATGTGATTAATTTGAAAAGACTATAGTGTAAATTGGCGGTCTGAGTCAAGGGTAGAATATTGAGTTTAAAAATTTATAGTTTAAAGCAACGATGTTACAATGCAAAAATTGAAATGAGCCACGATGATTATCGATTAAAGTGAATTGTATACTAAACTTGATGCCGTTGATATATCCGGTGAACTGCTGAAGAGTAGACGACTTATCTATTCTGTTGCAGCGATTAAACTTTGGATTCGCAGATACAGATTTTGAACTGAACAAGTTTTTAAATTTATTGTTTCATTCTGCCCATTTTCATCGATAATGAAGACGCCAGTTTTGCGGAATTGATATCTATGATCAAAGATTTGGCTCACGGTCGCCTAGTACCCATCTCTGTGGTTTATCGTTGACACTAATGTACTTTGTAGCTTCTTTCAAAATACCTTGAATGATATGGTATAAGTGCTATTGCTTGTATTGCAGTTAGTTTTATAAACTACATTATTAAGTCCAAGGTATCTGAATCCATCAGGAGAATTTTAAATTATGAAAAAATATACGCATAGCGTTCAGGCCAAAAGACAAGCTTCGATTTCTACTTAGAAGCGAAAAAGAAGCATTGAATGTTATTTACTACAGCAACTCGAGTTATCGTAGTTCTCGATATGTTGGCCACACTTCGCGACTCTTACGAACTAGGAACATTATCGAGGGAGTAAACGACTAATAACAGTTCAAGAATCTATGATGAAACAGGAAGTAGCATCTGCGCCTTCATGTCGTAATATCACTACTGGTCACCACACCGACTTTGCGGTAACAGTAAACTTATGTGAACAACTATTACTAGAAGCTGTGTTGAT